GTAAAATATGTTATTACAAGTTATTTAAAACAATGTTACATTAATAAACTAATGAAAGAAATTATTATAGTTTTTTCCTCTATTGAATAATTTCAAATTATTTGGAAGCAATTATTATGTTAACAAACATTACAATAATTTATTTTTTCTTTTTTTTCAAAAGTTAGTTTTTTTATTTTACAATTTTTGCTTTAATTATATGAACTGCAATCATTGTGTATCTGTTTATATTTATTGATTATTTACTATTTATATATTACATCAACCATATGTTTTTATATATTTATATTATATTATTTATTCTAATATATGCTATATCACATAGCTAAAAATAATTAGCTATTGAATTATATATTTTATATTGAATTATATTTGAACATAATAATAGAATTAATGAAAAAGAATATTTAAATATCATATTTTGTATATATATAATTGTATTATTGAAATAATGTATATTATTTTTTAGTAATAATGTCATACAAGATGATGGTGTACGTGATATCTTAGAAGGTCTCATCAATCAAATAAATGAAGACAAAGATGGTAAAGGTTTAAATATATTAGTATTATGGAATAATCAACTGACAAAAAAATCGTCTCCCTATTTCGCACGTATTATAGTATGTAATTTTATATATCATTATATGTCATGCATGTGTGGACATGCATATATATATATTGTTAGAATTTTATATATTTATATGGTTCTATATTATATTAATAATATTTATTTATATAGACATTGTGTAAAACGTTGGAAACATTGAACATCGGAAAAAACATTTTAACTGACGAATTTTTATTTGTTATAAAGGATGCATTGAAAAAAAATCGTGTTTTGTTACAATTAGGAATACAATCAACTGAACTCACATGTGATGGTATTGTTACATTATCTGAAATTATTGAAATAAATCAAGTTTTACAAGTAAATATCAAAAGCTTTAAAATATTAAGAAAAATATAATAACTTTTTAAATAAATCTATGTCTGTCTATTATTTTAGAGGATAGATTTACGAAATAATAGCATACAAGTGACTGGAATGAAAGCTCTTAGTTTTGCTATGAAAAAAAATAAAAATATTACTAAAATAGATTTGGACGATAAACTCGACATAAAAGTAGTAAGTAATAAATTTTGTATATTATATTGTATATTAAGATAAAAATTTAAAACATTATTATTATTGTTTATTTTTTTTTATGTTAACAATAGGATGACCAGACCTTGCATCAATACACGCAGCTTGTAGCTGATATTCGAAGCTGTTGTTTGGAAAACAAACAAAATCATATATTAGAAGAAAATAGCGAAGGTTTTGAAAATTCATATCATAGCAGATTCTTTAGTACAACCTCCCGTAAAATTTCGCTTACTTGTCAAACATTACCATGTTCTTTATCATCCATGATTTCAATACAAAAAGATGAATCTGAACAATCAATGCTCGAACCGAAACGTATTAATGGAGGTCGTCTTCGTTCTCCAGCCCCTAGTCCTGTCTCTTCACCTATAGCCAGTCCAATATTAAGTCCTTCACGAAGTCGATTTGTAGTGTCTCGAGTACCAGAGACGTTACGTTCTACAGATTCCTCAGTATCTTCGTCATCAATTGTTTTTTCATCCCTTGGATCATCACCTACCTGTATCACTTCTGCAAGTGGGTCATCTAGATTTCGCGTTTCAGTTGTTGAATCAGCAAATATCTTATGTTTATCGAAACCTATTATTACTACTACTGAAACTGATATCACGGTCGATTTAAATTCGAAAGTTAATATTGCAGAATCAATTGATTCAGATGATTCAGATAATGTATTTGCATCTGAATTAGGAATGAATAATAATAATCAAACTACTGAAATTTTGCAAAATACTTCGAACAATTTTTCTGATCTAGCTTTAAATGTAGTAGAAGAAACGTGTACATCAACAGTACCTGGATATCCTAATATAAAAGAATCAAATACAAGTAAATCTTTCCTTAATACAACAATTAAAACTCAATCTAATGATAATATAAGTTCTGTAACTTTAGAATGCAAAGAAGATGGTAATGTGTCAGACAATCAAATTATTTTGAACCAATTGGAAGATATTTTGACGACAAAAAATATTGAGAATATAGAAAATTATTATAAAAAAGATGCAAAAGATATAAAAATTACATCTAAAGATAGAAATGATAAAAATTCTCCTTATACTACAATAATTACTAACAAAGATGATACAACAAATACTTGTACAAATGAAAACATAGAATTACAATCACAAACAAATCACGATCCAATACAAAAAAGTACTTCTAATTTAGGAAAATTACTTTCGCTATTTCAACATTCTAGTTGTTTTTTTTCTGATTCCACTAACATTAATCAATTAAAAAGTAAAAGTACATTTCAAGGTAGCATAAACAGCATGATGACTCTTGGTGATAAATTCCATTATTACATAAAAGATAAAAAAGATAGGATTTACAATCGTGAAACAGAAGAGTCGTCGGTATCACTAAAAAATAAATCAAAATTTTTTAATGTTTCTCAATTGCCAAGTTTACAAAGTTTAGCAAACATGATTCCATCATTTAAATTTGAAGATAATACTCCTGGACAGAGTAATAAATCTTATTCTAAAGAAGTAAATCTTTTACTTAAGAAAGATTGTGAAACTGATTCGACAGGTACAGAAAAAACTAATTGCAATAGTGAAAACTTAAATATCTATTTGAAAAGGCAGAAATCTATTTCTACTTTAGATAATCAATTATTATCTGAAAATATACAATCAAAATTTCCATTTGGTGTTACTAACAAAGATATAGTATTAACTGCAAATTATATTGTTTCAAATATAATTGATATTTGTTCTAAAATTGTGAATAATAATTTATTAATGCATGTTTCAAATAGTAACTCAATTGTACCTGTACCTAAATTAATAGGTATACCTGAATACTCTGTTTTAAAAGCAGTTACAAATGATGTACAGAAAAAAAATATAGCGGAAGTACTAGATAAAGTAGATCCTATAGAAAAAACAAATAATGAAATTTTAACAAACAGTATTAATTTTACTAGTGATAACAATTCTTTGTCATGTAGTATAATGTATGATATAAGCAATGATATGCATACTGTAGATACGTCTGACAGAATGCACAATTTAGTAATAAATTTAAGTACAAAAAATAATATTGAAAATAATTCTGTTTTTAATGTAAATAGTACAGAAAATAATACGGCATGTCTTGTATGTAATCAAAAATGTGTCTGTAATGTAAGTAATAAATCAATTGAATGTTATAATACGTTGAAGATAAATGTAGAAACAAATTGTCTAAATAATGAAGTTACCAGAATGTATAGTATTGACAGTAATAATGATAAAAATGTTTTTATAAATGTTCATAATATCTCAACAAATAATGAAATAGAAAAAATAAATGTATGTTATGTAAATAATAATACAAATTGGAAAAATACAGTTGTAAATAACATACAAGAAGCAAAGATATCAAAAATAAATTATATGTACAAAGATACTAATTTTGAATCTAGCAATGATAATACAAATTTATGTACTTCAATAATTTATAGAGATTTAAGTACACCAATAAAACGAAAAGTGATAAAACCATTTGTTATAGAAAATAACAAATACTTTAAAATAACTAATATATATCAAACAAAAACTAATAATGTGAAAAATACTATGAATAATATGTTCAAAAATATGAATATCGTTATGTCTATACCAAGAATGTATTCTTATATGACAAACTTCAATATGTTAATTCTTAGAAATTTTATACATTATGTAGCAGATTCATCTATTGATAAAACTTTGATTAAAAATCTTTTATTAGATCTCACAACTAATAATTGGCCAGACAATATTATTAAAGTAAAAACTTTATTTTGTGATTTATCTCAGATATCTCAATTATCAATGAATGCTATAACTGAAAAATCAGATAATGAAATATTGAAAATTGAAAAAAATATTTCACCGAAATATTATTCAAAAAAAAAAGTGAATTTTTACAAGAAACAAAAATTTAAAAAAAATAAGGTTTTTGAAATTGTTTCTGAATATTCTTCAATACCTGTAATAGCTGATTCTATTGTTTCAAAAGGAAATGTGTCTTATTTAAGAGGAAACATTAATATAAGCAGTAATTTATCAGAAAATATTCATATGTTCAGTAATTTTGGATCAAATATTGCTCAACATTTAAAATGCACAAATTCAGATGAAATAAGTGATACAACTCATCAATATTTAAATGCAATTAAATGTGCAGCTATAGCCACAACTATGTGTTCAACAGCTGCAGTGAACACAAGGGGTAATACAACAGTTGATATTATTTCTGATCAAAGTACTAATATTGCTGAGACCTCATCAATAATTCATGCAACCAGGTGAGTAAATTAAATTATCAAAATTGATGGAAATTGATCTATTTTATATAATATTTTATTGATAATTCTATATTATTTATTATATTTCAGAAAAAAATATTTATTGAGTATTTAAATATTTATATTTTTTTATTATAATATATATAATTTTAATCTGTAAATATAAGTTTTTGAACTTATATTGAAAAATATGATATGATATAAAAAAAATATTTCGATTTTTTTTCTAATTTATATTTAAAATATAATTTATCTGTATTTTTAAAAAAACTAATTTAAAATATAAAATATTAAAAATATTAAAAATATAAAATTGTGTACATTTAATGAAGTTTTATATCAATATCAAAATATATAATTTTATTTTTCATAAAATATCTTTGATGAAAAATATTCAATTTAATTTTAATAAATATAGTGTAACAAAAATAAATAATTAATTTGATAATTATGATATTAATTGTAATTTTGTTATAATTTTTTTTATTAAATTGAAATTATTTAATATTCTTTATTTCGAATTAAATAACATATTACAATAATAATAATAAATAAATAATATATGTCATTGAAATTAAAATTATAATGTAATAATGGAAATTATTAAAATTAATTTGAAATATAAAATATATTATGATGAAATAAGTTTTTATAATATTATTTAAATGATTTCATGCTGCTTATTCTTCATTATATTGTGCATCATATTAAATATATTAAATTAAGATTCATTTATAATTAATTTGTATATAAAAAAAAGAATTATTTATCATTATTCATTATTCATTTGTCACAAATATAAAAATTTTTAAAATTCATTTTTATAAAAATAACTTGAATCTGATGAAAAAATTATAATATATATATAAATATATAATTATAAATATAATTTATAAAATTTTCTATTTTAATTTATATTGTATTTGAAAAATAATGCTTTCTTTTATTTATGCTGATTTCAACATTATCTTATGTCTCGCTTGCACTTATAATTTTTGTATAACTAATGCAATCATCTTAATCTTCCTTTTATAAAATACCATAAAAATTCGTTTCATTTTTTTGTATTTTCCTCTTAATCTTAAATATAAAATTTTAACAATTTGATCCATATAATATCTAATTTATTTAATATTTAACATGTTATTTAATATTTAATATTTAATAATATATAATAATATTAATTAATATAAAACAGAAATTAAAAGCTTTCTTAAAAGATTTCTATCTATATTATAATTAAATTGCATTTTTTATAAATTTAATTTTGTAATAAATTGTTTATATTTGTTTATATTGTTTGATACAGTAAAGTATTGTGTAAATTTTATAAATTATATATAATTTGAATTATGTATTTATGAAAATAATGTTATTGTTGTAAGAATGAATAATATGTTTTTGTTTAAAAATTTGTTTTAAAATTTTATTGTTTAAAAATT